CATTTATACATAAATATTCATTGAAAAAATCGTTGAGGCAGTAAATCAAAATTTCCCCATGCACTAATGTTTTTCCGTACGCGAAATATAGCGGTTTATTATGATGTTGATATTGCAGACATGGTGTAGACTTTATCAATATTTGATTACCATCAGTATGGACCGACAATAGGTGTCCGTGAAAATAAATAATACTTTTCAAGATGTATTTCCGAATATGCAAAGGTGTAACGTGCGTCTTGATCGAATTACAGTAGGCCTACACTACAATTCATCATGAATATTCGTTTGCTTTTAAACCAGGATATTGATATTTGAGGAAAAAACAGGGAAAGTTAAGCTTTCCCTTCGTTTTTGATGATTATGCTATAGGCTTAATAAAAACATAGATAGGCCTATGTGACAGGAAATACGTGTTTGACCTTTGACTTCAAAATCGTTTCTTAATGATTGTATAATTCGTATTATTAGCTTTATTTGGTAATCATTTCCTTATTAACGAAGCTGAGAAACTATTCTAATTAATATGATCCCGCGAGAATGCAGAGGATTAGAATCAGAAATAGTCTATTACTTGCTAAATTAGGAACTCGATTTCGGAGTAGAAATGCACCAGTGGGACTATTTTGATTCGAAAAATACTCGGACTTCTCGGCGCACCAGAGAAGTCGCTGCACTCATGCGTCGTTATACGCGAAATGAATACCATCATTAACACATGCTGGCATATATTCCATGATTTGTCTTCTCTTTGTTATAATCAATTTAGATTTAGAACAGTTACAGAAAAAAATATCCATAATTTCCCTTGCGAGATTTTAAACTACCAGTCATTTTTCCTTCATAAACACATCTCTATTTACCGAAGTTGTCGTAATTAACCATACCTTCAGAAATTGCGTTGGGAATAATCGAGAGAAAAAATGTATTAAAGGAGGCCTATTGATTTGCCTACTTCAATATTTTGTCTCTCGTGTATAGGCCCCTACAGCTAGAAAAGTTCATTAAACGATTTTCTGACTTCATAATTGTTTAAATTAGATTCTTATCGCCTTGTCAAAAAGGGCCGGGTCCTCTAAATAGACCTTTCCGGAGTGTCAATCAAACTTAACAGCTGACTAATCAGAACAGCGCTAGGAATACGCACGCGTCTCACAAACACACGTGTTGTCCCACAAACGCAAGTGTTCGCGTATGCTTTAACACTGTCGTCTTGTGGTACCTTAGCAACAATATCCAAGGGGCGGGGCTTAGTGGAAAGGTCCATTAATGGTCAATATCTTTATCAGAAGTGAAAAGTGATAAATAGGTACTGTATTCTCAAACATTGAAACTGTGTTTGAATAAATAAATCGGCAAAAGGATATAAGATATACATTTTAGAAAATTGAAACTTACTAGGGCAAGCCGTTCCCCATTACTTCTCAAACAATCCTTCAATGAAAAACAAATCTCTACTGGCTGGAAATGTAAAGCCATTCGGCGATTTGGTGTGTCGGGTGGATTGGATAAAAATGAAATGAAAGCTAAATTTAGCTTTCATTTTTATCCAATCTACCCGATACACCAAATCGCCGAATGGCTTTATATTACAGTGGCGAAATGGGCACCCTCCCCGACCATCGGAGCAGCAACAATTTAATTTTAAGTTATGAATTTTATTTACGGGAACGTCCTCCAAAATCTTCGATTGGCGCATCCTACCTCCTCCCCCTAACCCTCCCAAGGCAGAAACTAGGATCCGCCTCTGAGTATACAGACCTAGAAGTTTAAGTACCGGCTCTAAACTAACAAAAAAAAAATAATTGAAAAGCGCATCTGTTCATGTCGCAAGTAGAGCGCGTGATATAGTCAAATCCAGCTCCAAACTTAATGTTGATTTTTAAGTTATAAACTACATCCAATAAAACTAGATGTTTTTATAGGCAAACGACTCAGAGGGCATGGCGTGTTTCTGGTGCAGATTAACAATAACCGCGCTCAGGAGGAGATTTAGTGTCAAAATCTCAAGTCGCCTACTATATCTGAAATCACATATGGTCAAATAGAGCAAGACAAAATTTATTGCCCACAATTATTGGATTACACTGAATGCTTTTCGTCAATTATCATCAGTTATTTTGTCACACAATAATCGACAGGTATTTCGTTAAGAATGTGCTATTAACAAGTAAATACCGTCGCAGAATAAAGTTCCAGAATTCTTTCAGAGTCACATTCCCGTACACTCCACACTGAGTTTTCTTTAAAGGATTTTGTTACAATATCGCAAGAATGTTTTTACTATTTTTAGCTCGTTTATAGATTCGTCCCATATTTTAAGTACTAGAACGGAAGACACAATACCATTTCACACCTCTGGATTGTTGCTGACGTCAATTATCGTCAGTTATTTTGTCACACAATAATCGACAGATATTTCGTTAAGAATGTGCTATTATTAAAAAGTAAATACCGTCGCAGAATAAAATTCCAGAATTCATTCAGAGTCCAATTCCCGTACACTCCCACACTGATTTTTCTTTTAAGGATTTTGTTGCAATATTACAAAAACGTTTTGACTATTTTTAGCTCGTTTTTTTATTCGTCCCATATTTTAAGTACTAGAACAGAAGACACAAACTTCATCCTTCTGGATTGTAGCTGACCTGATTTATCCGAGATATATAACCATGATAACTTTTAATGTGAACTGAACGTTGTTTTACAAAAAGAAAAAAATAAGTATACGGTACTTGACAAAAATTGCTTATAAAAGGTGATTTTTTATGAAGGAAATACATAAATCCTTATTAATTACCTAGTATCTATTACCTCAGAAATAAAGTATGATAATTTTAATGACATAATTTGAAAAAAATATACTGTTGTTGTTCAAACAAACAATTTGCAGGACATTGCATATATTCGAAAAGAAAAAAATAAGTATACGGTACTTGACAAAAATTGCTTATAAAAGGTGATTTTTTATGAAGGAAATACATAAATCCTTATTAATTACCTATAGTATCTATTACCTCAGAAATTAAGTATGATAATTTTAATGACATAATTTGAAAAAAATATACTGTTGTTGTTCAAACAAACAATTTGCAGGACATTGCAAATATTCGAACTCTCCTTTGAATTCCTGTTCTCTTATATGATTTCTCGTCTGAAATAAAATGCCTGAAATAAATGAACAATAATAATAATAATAATAATAAGAATAATAATAAGAATATTATAATAATATTAAAGATATTATTAATAATAATAATAGTAATTTAAGATTAATAGGGAGCTTCCGATTTTTGCGACGCTAGAACGGAATCATTCATGCGTGACCGTTCTACCGGGCGTCCTCTGTTGCATAGGTAGATTTGGCCAAATTGCGTCCTAAGAATCCACCCGACGAGGAGAACTTAACATTTTCGCATGCGCAGATGACTTTTAGTGACGTCATTACGTTCTACGCCCTACCGTCGTCGTTGTGCAATCGAAAGTTCCCTACCGATTCAAAAATGAAATCACATTGGCGTTTGTAATTTCTTTAGGCTTTTGACATTTATCTTTGACCAGTAGAGATTATTTTACTTTGTGCAAATAATCTTGTTCTACAATCTATTTTAAAAATGCCAAGTAATTCTATAATGTTGTATATTTGAATGTTGTTATAACCAAAATTAGGCCTGTTACTGTACATAGGCCTACAACTACCTCGTCGTAGTCAGCCACGTCTGGCATGTGTAATATTTAATATTACAGTAATGTAAATAATGCTAATCATATTATTTTGTTTAAGCTTGAAGCCGCACACGTCGGCCACCGTAGGCCACCGTAGGCCGACGATCGTTCGCACTCTATGTAGCAAGCGCTTATTCGACAGTCAGTTTGGCTATCTGTTGTAGTTCGAGCCGCCTGTGGTGGTCGTTGAAAACGATTCGTCGCGAGAGTGTCGCCTCGTCGCGGTCTCATGAAAGCGCATGGCTTCCACACCGACGTATCGTGTGCCTGTGGCACCCATAACATCGCTACGCGCTATCGCCGACAGCTTTCGGCGACGCTGATTGGTCGATCGAATCAGGGTGACTTCCGGATTGCTTCGGGGAGTTTCGCAGTGCAACGATTATAGTAAAAACACTGTATAAGTATTCAAAAACTGATTTTTGACGATTTTATTTGTTTTTCCCTTAAATATATAGAAATGGTTTCGTCGATGTCAATGATGAACATGGGCGCTGCCCTGTTCCTATTTATGTGTCTGCAACAGTGCTTTCTAACAGTATCTTCAGAATACGATGCGCCTGACACAAACACATTTGGTAAGTACGTACAACATTAAGTTTTCCAAAAACATTCATATTACGTAAACGGTAAGGATGATAAATCTGAGGAAGTGAAACAATGGCCAAACGGTTGTACATTACGATAGGCCCTGTCTCTTATACACATCTAGATGTGTATAAGAGACAGCTCGTTGAACTGAAATCCTTGATAATAGAACCAAATGGACGTAAGTTGACAAAAAATACAACGCATTTTAAAAATAACACAAAAGATTTAATGGCAGACATGTTTCGGGTTACCTCTTCAGTTCAAGAAGATTACCAGTTTCTTTATTAAGGAAATATGAAAAGATTACTCTTCGTTTGAACAAAGCCGAATTGGATTTTAATTTTTTACATAATTGCAAGGCATTCGGAGTTTTTCCTAAATATATATATAAATTTTGGAGAGTATAATCGCCTCAATTGGGATTCAAACATTAATTATTGTACTCTAATTTGTAAAAACAGGGACAAAATTAAACACAAACAAGTAACGACAGAAACAATCCTCGAAAGTATGTCAGATATTTTATGTTTTTGTATCTGAAACGAAACGAAGTTGATTTACATAATCGTCAATTAAATTATGATTGGTTTGCGTGATTGTGTGGCGCTAGGCCTATCAGTCACAAAATTAAACACGGTGATGATAACGCATGAACCATTAAACGTGTAATTATTGTTAAGAATTATATACATAGTAGAAATAATAGATATTTCAAATTGAATATAATCCCTGGTATCATTAAAAAATAAAGGCATCACACATTCCCGCATTGTTACGGTCTGATTGTACGTGCATCAAATATCATGGGTGTCGCTAACTTACATTTTTAAAATGTAGGCCTTCTGCCAAACAATTTAAACCTTAAGAGAGATGATACGATAGCTAATAATTTTTCTTACAATAAAATATTTATGAAACTTGACTTGACGTTGGCACTATTTCAATCGCTGTTGTCCTCCAGTACTCTCTATATCTGTTGTTAGTAACTCTAACCAAGGTTACAATATAATACACAAATATATATACATACAGTGAAATAATCTCCGCATTTATTCAACGCCGTGATTGTGAGGTGTAATTTCATTTTCTCACCGTGTGCATACATAATGCCGTAAAAACAAATTATTAAATAGGCTAAACTTTAATGCAGCGGCTTAATTCTCCACTGCTAAGTTATTTTTCCTAACGCATACAAATGTATTTTATTACCGAATAGTTTACAGACGAAGTGTAAATGTCAACAAGGTTAGTGTTATCGCCTAGCCGGACATTTACGGAAATAGTTAACCAATAGGAATCGTGCACGCGCGGAGTCATTGCCGTGTGCGTAAATCTGGAGCGATTGCGTATTAATCAATGTGAAACTGGAATCTTTTAATTGGTCCGAATTGATACTTACAGTCTCATTGTCACCCATTTAAGTAAATTAGGCGATTGCAAATCATTTTGATCTACGGAGATATGTAACAACTGACTTCTTAATGGGCATATTGGGTAGAAATTTTTAGCAACCGCGCTTAAATTTCCGGTCAGCCTCATCCGCTAAGACTCCCGTGGGAATGACCGACGCACAAGAAACAACATGACAAGAGTAGTTTTTGTATAATAATTGTCACCATAGGCCTATTCCTGAAAGATTACTTGTGAATGGAGACATGTACTCGCATTGTACAACTACGGTACTTTGTAATAGCAAATACAATTGAAAATGTCAATTACAGACCTAAATAATATATTTATTATATTAGGCCTTCGACAGAAAATTAATTAATTCTATTCAGTTTGATCAGTGGCGAATCCGAGATTATTTGCCGGGGGAATGAGTCGCAATCGGGGACCTATGCCCCTAGATAGGCCAACCCTATGGTCCGAGGGGTAGAGTTGGGGAGTATGGTTGGAGGGTGCTCCTTTATATTGTTTGGGTCTTTTGTTTTATCCATTTTAATTTAAAGCCAGATTACGAAGGAAAAACATGTTTGATATATTGTACAACTGATTTTTGTAAGACACAAAAAGGATTGACAAAAAACTCGGAAACGTTAATGAGATACAGATTTCTGAATATTTAATATGGGAGAAAAGGTTGCAAAACGGCGGTTACGCAACTTTTCTCCCAGTTTTTCTAAAATCTGTATCTTATTAGCGGTTTCCGAGTTTTCGTTCAAACATTCTTTTTGTGTCTTAGAAAATTAGTTGTACAACATATCAAAAAAGTTATACTCAGGAGACTGGCTTTAAATGGTTTTACACATGGTAAAAAGTTTTTGGTTGCTACCGAAAAGGGGTGGGCACCCCTTACTGCCGGAAAGGGGTGGGGCACCCTATTGGAACCTCAATCCACTGTTGTAATTAAAGTCAGGCTCCGGAGGAAAAAAAATGATATGTTGTAGAACTGATTTTTCTAAGACAGAAAAAAGTTGTTTGACGAAAAACTGGGGAACGGTGAATAAGGTGTCAAAATGGGCAGTTACGCCCCTTTTTCCCCCAGTTTTTAAATATTAAAAAATCTGTATCTCATTTACCGTTCTCCAGTTCTTCGTGAAACAACTTTTTTCTGTCTTAGAAAAATCAGTTCTACAACATATCAATTTTTTTTCCTCTGGAGCCCGACTTTAAAGTGTACTTGACTTGCCTCGAAACACAGATATTAACTAGCATAACCTCTGATTTCACAGACAGATGATAAAATTACGAACGTGTTTTGCAATGAGTTGAAAATAACTTGAATGTCTTTTCTCGTAATTTATCATTTCCAGATCAAGATACAGAACAAGAAAAGGCTGCATGGCTTACACATGGTGGTTTGATCAACAAGCGACCCTGGCTAGGCGGCAAAAGAAGTTCTACTTCTTATTTTACCAAACGTGATCCAATTCGTATGGGAGGTTACAGAGAAATGGAAGCTAAGCGGGCATTCGAAGAGTGGTTATCAGAGCAAAGGCGGAACTACGAAGAAATACCTTTTGAACAGGAATATTACGAATTACGAAAACGACCAATGATGAACGGTAAACGAAACATGGTGAATGGTGGTCCATAAATTCTCTAAATTAGTCGGTACTGGCAACACCCAAATTGCCATTTAAAAAAGTGGAACATAAATACAACCATACAATTAATTTAAAGACAATTTTTTTTTAATGACAATGAAAATAATGTAAAACGTCGGCTACATTAGTTTTCTGTAAACTGGGGATTGTGGGTAATTTTAATGGCAGAGACAGCCGCCGATCCAATTCTAAGCAATGCTAATAATTCGTAATTATTTATGGTTACAATCCAAAGTCGTAAGCTTACCAATTTTCGTAAGATGTAAATTGCTATATTGTAAATCTTCCGAGATATATTCAATATGTACAGCATTGACGGGGTGTCGGTATAACTATGAGGTCGTATTTTTGGTTTTGTTTTCTGATATCAGCTTAATACCGTACTGTGATATAGTGATTATTATTTTCTTCTCATAAGCAATCGATATCACGATTAGATAGAAGCAAGGGGGAAATAAATTAACATATAGTCGTTCAATCACTATCTGTATGCCTATTAGTTAAGTAATTATAACGTGTTTATAGAATTAATGTAGCAATTAGGACAACGCCTTGTCACCGTCCAAAAAAAAGTTTAATGATATCTTCGAATATAGGGGGCGCTCACAGCAGACTGCAGTTTAAAATCAGAATGTTAGATCTAACGATCGAAGCTTTTTCGTTATATATATTTTCTTTTCTAGAGAATGTGATTATTTCAATAAAGTATATGCGGATATAGAATTATATTCGGTCGGTATTTCGTACTTCTTTTTCTGTGTAGCTTACAATACATTTAAAATGAATCATTGATAAAACATTATTGGTCGATTTGTTACAGAAATTCAGCTTAAATTCAATTTAATAAATTTATTTCTCAAAAGTAACTTTAAAGTATTTACAGAAGAATGATTACAGATTATTTCTGAGAAAAGGGAACCCCACTGTAAGCAAAGCTTTTAATGTGGGGCCCAAGTTAAAGAATATAAGTATGGTTCAAAGGGGGCGGATCCAGAATTTTCAGAATAGATAAGTGAGAGCGTTAATTTCAATATATTTATAAATATGTATCTCGATGATTTTTTTTCTCTTTAAACGGTGAATAAATTTGAACCTGTCTCTTATACACATCTAGATGTGTATAAGAGACAGCTTTTTGATATAGAATTATATTCGGTCGGTATTTCGTACTTCTTTTTCTGTGTAGCTTACAATACATTTAAAATGAATCATTGATAAAACATTATTGGTCGATTTGTTACAGAAATTCAGCTTAAATTCAATTTAATAAATTTATTTCTCAAAAGTAACATTAAAGTATTTACAGAAGAATGATTACAGATTATTTCTGAGAAAAGGGAACCCCACTGTAAGCAAAGTTTTTAATGTGGGGCCCAAGTTAAAGAATATAAGTATGGTTCAAAGGGGGCGGATCCAGAATTTTCAGAATAGATAAGTGAGAGCGTTAATTTCAATATATTTATAAATATGTATCTCGATGATTTTTTTTCTCTTTAAACGGTGAATAAATTTGAACTTTGAACTTGAAATAATATATGCCTTGAAATTTTCAAATTTAGTGGCAAAACGGGGGGGGGGGCACGTTCCCCCGTGCCCCTATTGGATCCGCCCCTTGTTTAAGTGAAACAGAAAGTATACAGTATGTTGTATGACGTGGTAGGCCTACTGTAAATTGAATATTGTTCTTTTCTGATTATATATTATTTACAATATAAACATAAGAAATCAATTTATAGCTGTAACATGGTATAAATGTAATTGATGTGAAAACTATATCATATTAGAAAGTTTCTTCAGATCTTCTGGTAGGGAATTCTAAATGTTTGGACATCAGTGAGTTTACTCTAAAAAAATTAATGAGATCGTCTCATGATGATGAAAATCTTTGCTCCGGTAGGCAATCATCTATTATTTGTATAACGCCAGTAATATTAATAATTCTTTAATATAAAAAAATATGATGTTGTAAAAATAACAGCAATAAAAGAATAATATAACAATAAGGAAGTATGATCAATATATATATTTTAATAAATAATAATAACAATAATAATAATATTAATAGAATCAGATTTATTGTATTGATCATATACATGAAATGTGTTTCCCTGAGTTGTAATGCACATATAAAATCCATCAAAATATTAAGTAATAATAACAATAATCAATATATTTTGTAATTTTTTTTTTTAAACACCAAAACATTGATATATCTGTATATATGTAACCATTCACTTCGACCTGTCAGACTTCGCCTCATCGTAAACAACAATGAATGCCTCCGCTCGCTGAAATACGATCAGGAGAGAAATTCACATCAAGAAGCCGTCAACACTTTAAATCTCATGTGAACGTAATGCGAGCACTTGTAATAGCACGGGCTTATTTGCTTTCCTATAATTACGAAGAACGAAATAAAATCGGTAAACTATCCGCCACGAACAAAATCCGAAGAAGGTGCCTTGAATGTTTTGCGCAGTTAACCGTGTAGGAAGCATAGGGAGGGATTTGGCACACTTATTCGTCAGTAACATTTTAAATGCTTTAAAAAATAAATTTTTATGTTTATACATTGCAATGCAGAGTAAATTATTCTTACTTCCTATATAAAAACGGTGTGTTTTAAGTAAATAATTGGCTGAGAAAATGCCGTTTTTCTTTATATGCATTGCCTTAGCCCGAGCTCACCGGGAATCTCTAACTGTTGCCTTTTCTTAACCATCAGGCGATGTATGTCAGATGAAGTCAGTATCACTAAAGAAATGGGCGTTCCGCGACGAGACATTTTATCCAATCAAATTGATTTTTAACTTTAACAGACAGCTTGATTAGTGCATTTTGACGTATAGAAATAGTCGTTACAAACGGCCCACGCATTCATAAATGAGTGATTTTTGTAATTATGATCGCAAAATTGTGTAGACAGGAGTTAATCGCCAAATGACCTCGTTTAAAAAAAATTCCGACGACACCTTGTTGATTTTAAAATTTAAAATAACATGACATTATAGTTGAATAAATAAGGAACACGTTCCCAGCCAGAAAAATCGGTCCAATATTAACAAAGATACATTTAAAAAACTGCTCAAATAGGGCTGATTTTCAGCGATTTCTAACCGTTTGGTGAATTCGAGCCCGATTTTTGGAACACAAGACAATTTATAAAATTGCTGACCTCAGCCCCAAACATTGTGAGGCTGAGGTGCCTGATCCCTCTATCTGTGAATGTCTCTCCCTCGGCCCCCTCTATTACGAATTCCTGGATCCGTCACTACATATAATAGGACGCATTTTAGAATAAGACATACGCATTCACAATAGGGTATTTATTCAATTTTGAATATACCAAGTACTGGTAACCAGTCTAACTGGAGGTCTAATAATTATTATTACAATTAGAAGTAAATCAGTCTTTAAAAAAAAATGCTGAAAGGCAAGAATGTTTTGTTTTTTGGTTGGGGAAGCGACACCTGGAGGTGCGTGCACCACAGATCATTCCCTGGCGTCTTGTTGGGCAAATCCTACTGTAGTGAAATACTGTTGGCCATAGCCTAGAATTCACATATATTTTTGTTATATAATTATGAAGGCCAAGTTGGTATATACTAAAACAAGTAATTCATGTTATCGAAGCTAATAATAGGCCCTATATAGAAGCGTTACATACCATAAATTCATATCCATGATGCCAAACACTCCAGCTCAATAAGACCTCAGTTCTTTTAAGCTTGGTTTCCATACAATCGCTCACACTATCGGCGACAGCAAATTGTCGACAGGAGCAGATCCCGATTTTTTCAAACGTGGGTTGGGGGGCTGTCTCTTATACACATCTAGATGTGTATAAGAGACAGAAATAAATGAAAAACAACATTTTTTAATTGGATTTATCATTTTTATTAAATCATGACTGCTTTTACTTCATTGATTCTGATGTACATTAAACATTACATATTCATTTATGTCAACACTCATCAACGATTTTGAAACATTATACTGAATAGATAATAATGCTACATCGATCATCAAGGGAGCAAATAAGACAACTGAGAGGCTAGTGAAATGACGAGTCTTTACACTATAGAGGGCGACATATTATTTGTAATCTGGCGCCCTTCACATTTACAGTGGGATTGATAACTGGAGGCATGCGATGAGAATCGGATACACATTTCTAATATTACTACAACAGTCACTATTTAATTTCACTTGCAATGAAATCCAAACCGTCACATCGTATAACGGTAGAGGACAGATTTTTGAAATACATTTTCAAATGCAACGAACATTATAATAAATCAGTTTCTATCTCTGAAAGGTCATATACTCTTGCTTGTAAATTAGAAACAAAATATAATTTGTCGTACAACATAAACTTCCTATTAACACAAAATGAGTTGCCTTTACCATTCACCTTGAAATTTATCAAATATTTGGTTAACATTTAGTAATACATGCTTATATATATAATTTATATATATATATATATATATGTATATTTAACAATGTGTAGTAAAATAAAATTGTCAATACCTTAACCATATCAATTACATTCACTGATTCAATCTTTCCCATCAGTCATTCTTGTTATGAATATCATCCAATAATATATAATTAAATAATTACAGACCTGGTTATTTCTGATGATTTAACATCCAATTTAAAAAATAAATTCTAAAACATTTGTATGGTTCATTTATGTGTCTAGTTGTCCAATTTCAACTAATTTTTTGGCCACTAAGTACGTTTGTTTTTCTGCCACTTAAAATGCTATATTTTATCCTGATTATTACATATACAATCCATCGACGAACATTTTAATCGTCTAGGGTTGTTGGTCAGTACTAGGGCTAGATGCACAAAATTTACTACAATGAAAAAAAAAATGCATCACCATAAGATAAAAATCACAGGTAACACTAATAGCAGTGTAGAAAAAAAAAATGTGGTAATTAGGTAAGAACATTCATGCTTATCTTTAGGTAACTATATATTTAATACAATTATACTCATTTTGCAGTTTAACTTTTATCACAAATATACATGTTTCACTATCACAATCTATAAACGTTTCCTTTTTTTCCCCAAAAATAATGAAACAGCTAAGATAATTTAAATGCAACTATTAAATCAACACTTCCTCCGATGCTAATGGGGGAGATTGAATGTATAGCTGAAGATGTAGCGAGCCCTCTAGAGTTAAGCATTATTGAATGACTCTAGAGGGCACACTACATCTCCATCTTTACATGAAGATGTACTGAGCCCTCTAAAGTTGAGCATTACTGAATAAATTTACCAGCTTTTTCAATGTTGCAAGCATCTTTTTTGGCTGTTTCTTTCTTATCCATTGCAAAGTTCTTTACAAAAACATGAACATTCATAACCCCAACCAATGTCTTCCAACAACTAAAAACCCTCAAAATTATTAAAGGATATGAGTAGGTAGGTTAATGATTGTCATAAAATAGTGTTCCAAAATGAAAGACCCGAAACTTTCAATACATTTAAAAATTACAATTAGGACTTAACCATTACAATATAGAATAGGTCCGAATATTTTTAATTTTAGACTTAATATGCAACCTGTTCGTATGATCATCGCACTGGCACCAGAGGGGGGTACGTGCAGTTGTAGCTTGGTTCAACGAATGTAAGATCACTATCATCTGTGAATCACAGGTCGTTAATTGAAGCAGGGGGAGGATAATCGAATGATAGAATATCTGATGCTTGATCTAGGAGGCAACATCCTGAAGATCTTTCTGTACTTGGCTGAAGTCGAGGTCATCACCCGTGATTCGTTTATAGGTGTCTTTGATGTCGTCACAGGTCGTCTCAAAATGAGTGGTAGCGTCATATGACTTAGTGATATATACCTGTAAAACAATCAAATTTTACTATTGGTTTATTGCTGTGTAAAATTTTATGCGACAAAAAAATGTGATATGCCCATATTTGGGTGTAATATGACATCTCCATGCCCATATATGGGCACATAACACAAATTTGTCATAAAATGGACCTGTCCAGACTATGAAAAATTTATTTGACAAAAAATGTGACATGTCTAAATGGTCATGATGACATCACATCATGACCATATATAGGCATATCATGACTATATATGGGCATACAAGAGCGAAAGCAAATTAGGTTTAATTACTTCAGTACTTAATCCAGTATATAAAAAAATGTTGTCAAGCTGGCTTTAACCGTATATGTATATTTACTGGAGGAGAGCATATAAAGTAATCCCAGGGTTTCAGTAAATTTCATTGTCACTGATCATAGTCAAAACCTACCTTAGAAGTCGAGCCATCATCAGTCGGCTGAAATATGTCATCAACAGATGTAAATTTCTCCAGTATTGGTCCTAGCAAGTCCAAACCTGGTTGTATCTCCTTCTCTGGCTCGTCAGTTTCAACTGTTGTGGAGACGATGGCAATGTAGAAGCCTTCCGCAGCAACATTATGAGCACTAGATATGCAGCACACATAGATGTCTAGTAGAGAACAGAAATTCATTTCAATAAAACAACTACAATTATAAAAAATTCACATTCAATGCCACGCCTTTTGTACAAGCTTTGCCAAAACAAGTTTACATATGAAAACACTTTTTTCAAACTAGTCATAAATCATCAAAATCTTGCAAATGATTTCGGTGGGAGTCGAACTCTCAACCTCCAGATAAGTAGCCTGGTGTCTTAACCACTAGACCACTGAGCTTGTGCTTAGTGGTTAATCCAATCATCAACTAGCAGCGGGTACTGCAAAACTAACCCGATGGCGTTTTATACAACAGAATCGGGGTTAACTCACATGTCTGAACAACGCTTAAAGTTAAGTTAAAGTTAAGTTTTTTCACCTGATTTTCGTCCTACTTGGTTTTGTGGAATGATAACTTGGCAAGCACTTGAATCCTTTGTGTTTGGGATTGGTGCCTTTAGCAAACAGATACAACGAACCACTTGGCCGATCTTTTTCACCTTGTCCGTGAAGTAGGATGGATCGGCCACAACACATTTTGTTTTTGCAGTTTCCCCTTCTGACTTGACGCCAGTGACTACACCATTGTCATATTCAATGCTTTCAATTGGTTTGGCCAACATGTAAGTACCACCATAAATTGCTGAAAGCCTTTGAATAAATTATTAATGATTAATACTAATATTATTATTAATAAATATTATAATAATTATTAATAATATTAATTCATTAATGATTTGTATTTATCAACATTTTGATGATGATTAAACTATAATTAACATTTTTAAACTTCATAATATAACAATAATACTAAAAATAATAATGATATGGATAATATTGAATATTATTTCATAGAAGCCCTAATTATGTCACTCTTTCTGGTGAAGTGATGTGAACATGACAGAAACTTTTGTAAGATTTTTTAGTTAAAATCTAATTTACAAGATTACTAATAATATTGATGATAATGATGGTAATAATGACAATGATCTGCTAAAAATATATTACAATATTTTTTTCCCTTAAATTTAAAATGAAATACATTAATTGTAAAAAGGAATTCACAATGAATGAACATTATATTTTTAGAATATCTAACCTTGCAAAACCTTGCGGTAGCTCTCCCAGGCCATATAGCGGATACAAGTAGGGAGACTTGCCGTAGCGAGACAGAGAATCACTGTACAGCTTGATCCTCTTTAAGGTATCTGGCATTGGTTCTTTAAGGTAACTACAAAACAAAGCAAGGCAAAGTAAAGCTCTCTCCCGACGGATTATCAAATTTTCTTTGACAAAAAAAAAATGTTGTATGCCCATACAGTCAGGACATGCCTATATATGGTCATGATGTGATGTCATCATGACCACATGTTTTTGTCAAATAAAATTTTATAGTCTGGACAGGGCTTCAGAAAAAACAAATACAATATAGACTATCTATCTATCGACCCCTCCAAAGACCAATTCTATATGGCCCCAGACGAACACATATTTTAAAGACCAAAGCTGCAAAAGACCATTAAGCCCTTGCTGCCTAAAGTGGTTTTTAATTTGAGGTAGACCTGTCATTTTTGATTTTGAAGAATTTTAAGCCAAAAGCTTTGGTTTTCTTGATTCTTAGATTAATATAATCATATTTGTGTACAGTAAGTCTCTATAATTTACATTTGGGTTATATTTTAACTAATGTGGATTAGATGATTCCTCATTGGCTATGCTTAACTGATCCACATCACAATAATCCAATCATAACTTTTTTTTATGGCCACTCAAAATAAGGTGTTAAAGATATATCGTCCCATGCAAAATAACATAAAAATCATTTTTGAAATTAACTTGCACATTTTGATGTAACATAAGAATTATCAACTTGTACACTGAAATTAGCATATTTAAAAAATGTTTACTCATTATTTTACACAGCGAAAAATGATTCCAGTCACTGTAAGTGTTTTATTATTTTTATTATAATTATCCAGTTAACAAATCAGGGTACACATACACAGCAACATTGTGCAGAGAGGCAAAGGTTCCTAACCTACAACCAAGATCATATTGAAAACCAGCCATGTGGACATTCTAATCAGGTGAGAGTACGATGGGATAGGTTTGATTAGTTTAGTATAAATCCTAAATACCAATGCAAAGTGGGCCAAAAATTGAAAAACTAACAATATTAACTTAACTATTCCAATGAACTGTAACAATCAACTAAAAAAATTAAGGCTAGTATAGAAGATTGTGGCTACGAAATGCTAAATAAAATGTAGAAAAGGTACAATAATTTTGTTTTAGCCGAGTAAGCATACCTTGCTTGCCTTGACGTTCTGCCACTGTTCAGGTTCAGGATTCACTATTCTTAATGGGACACTTTCTTTTTGGCCCCAGTAGGAATTCTACTGTAAATGATACCTAGGGTATCAAAACTGTCTACTTACTCGTCATTGAGATACAGGGCAATAGCATGACCGGTGAAATCCATAGTGTTCTTATCCAAACCATACTGATTATAACATTCTTCCATTGTACTTTCGTTTTTTAGTTCTTTATTTAACGTTTTCGGGTCATTTTCATCATATGAATGTGCAAATTGAATGAAGTTCCTAAAACGACGTTTCTCAAATAAACCCATCAAATCTATATATATAAAAAAAATCGTTGTTAGTCTATGATGAAATACTTACCTGGATAAATTAATAAATGCCTTTAGTTTTCTTTAAAACTTTCCTCTCGAGCATAAAAGAAATTAACAAAAGTGCCCTAGCTCACCTACGCCATGTGTGAATGAAAAGCTTCCTTGTTTCCTTTGAGTCTATAACAGATCTTGGCAAGAGAGGTCATCCAGAAATTCATTAGTTAGGTTTGCAATTTAAAGCTAATAGAAACCATCTTGTATTTCATACAGAATTGTTGTGTTGCTCTCAAATTGAACCAAATTGGGATCGTCGAATTGAAAGAGGGAGCATTTTGAAATGGAAATATTTTAGAATGGAATGGTAAATATTTTGAAATGAAAATGGTGAATGTTTTAGAATGGAAATGGTGAAAATTTTAGAATGGAAATGAATATTTTGAAATGGTAAATATTTTAGAATGGAAATGGTGAATATTTTGAAATGGAAATAGTGCATATTTTGAAATGGAAAATATTTTGAAATGGAAATGGTGAATATTTTGAAATGGAAATGGCGAATATTTTGAAATGGAAATGGCGAATAATTTGAAATGGAATTTAAAATGGAAAATATTTTTGGAATGGAAATGAATATTTTTTTTCAATGGAAAAGGTGAATTTTTACTTTTATTGATATTATTCACACTGTTAATATTATTGTTGGTATTATTGTTATTACCTATACTGTTATTGTCTATATTATTAAGCAAACATTTAATTTCAATTATAATACACTGCATTTTGCAGTCAGTATAATATTCTTTTTTCTTTTTATTGTTACCATTTACTATTACTTTTTAGTGTTATTGCCGCTATTGTTATGCCTTTTGTCATTCTTACTGTTGCTAGAAAAGAAGAAAATTGTTATGATGCCCAAATAATAACAACAATATATTACATTATTATTATTCTTATTTAAACTGTTATCATACTGTAATAATATTATTATAACAATATTAGATGAAATGGTGCATATTTTCAATAGGAAATAGTGAATATATTGCCTGTTATTTTACTTACTTGAAGCAAGCGCCTCTTTTTCGTTTGCTGGCACCTTGTAAACTTTTCCTTGTTTATATACGTAACTGCCTTCAACAGACTTGAACTCAAGGTAACGTGTAACTCCAGACATAATCAACATCTGCACCAACTCACCTGTGCCATGACACAGCATACATAAAGTTTATATTTGTTTTAATATGAGTGGGATGTGTGTCTTTAACTGTTTATTACAAGTAAATAAAATGAAATTATTTTGGCAACATTTAGATCAAACAGATGTGGAAACAATACTTGATGATGTTTTAGGTAGTAATTAGCATTCAAAGCTAATACAATGCTATTGTGGATACTAGAAAAACCTTCAAACAACTGTTCCCCAGAACAGAAACATTTGCTCTACCTCAGATTCGAACCCACAATTTTTTGTTGGAGGCCTAAAGCTATACCACTGTGTCACATAGATATATGTTGAGGACTTACCACCTGCCATGAGAAATTTAGGAATCAAATCTACATTCCAGTCCCTAGCTCTGCCAAAATTATCCGTGCTTGGTGCTTTTTTCCCATACTTCTCAAACAACTGCAACCAAATATTACATAAGACATTTCAGAAATTGATACCTTAACATTAAAATATTTAGCATTGAATTTTACAAGTTATTCTTAAATAAAAAATGAAAAATGGAGATGGTTCTGAAATAGTATTATAAATATTATTAAATAATAATATATAGGTGCCATGCAAATCAATGTTTTTACTTTCTCTTCAACCAAGGTAATAGGCCAAGCAAGATATCTTTCAATTTAAGTTAGCAAGTGAAACAGAATCTCTATTTAGACATATTGTATGTATACCGCAATTTATTGTACTTTTTTAACAAAATGGCCAAATCAAAAGAATTACATTTAAGTTTACCTTGAAGTAATGATAAAATATCTTGCATAATTATTAGCTTTTGTTATTTAATATTATTTATATTGACAGCCAAAACCAACAGTAGGGACTGTGTAAAAATTTGTGCTAAAAAAATTTCAATTATTATTTATTAAGTTGCAAGTTTTAAAATTATTTTTTATGATTTTTTATCACTTCCAAGGGACAATACATCCTTAAAGAACTTAAATCACAATGTATACACTGATCCATTTATAGTGATTACCTTCCCCTTTTTAAGCTGTATCCCCACCACTACTTGGGACTGGGGACTTCCGGCAGTGGATTCTCACACATCTTCTACAAATTAAACATTACTGTACGTACGAGTAGTATTTTGTTGTCATTGTTAGTCTATCGTCAAGACTTTGTTCCATAACATGGACATGATATGCGCACAGGAGACCTTGAGAAGGCCCCTAGCAATGGCAGGAACCACTAGAGGATGTTCTTTTGAGAACACATAAATGAATACCTATATATTCACAGCCAATATAGACAAGAACCAAAGTCTATCTGATCAATCTCAGAAATATTATCAACAAGATTTGTTTATGTAAGTAAACAAGATAGACAAGATAATACTTTAATAGCTCAAATGTTTATCAGACCATTAGTTATTTCAATATGGAATATCAACTTTTAATAACCATAAAACACTTCCCGTATTTAAATAACAAGCTGTCAGTAAATGAAATATAAAGGTTCTCCAGTTATTATAATTAGTTATGGCTCAAAGAACTAGAGGAATAATGCATTTACAAACAAATCCATTCAAGGACAAAATACAATGCCATAAATAACTTAGATGATATGCAAGTAAACAAATGAGGAAACATTTGGGGCAAGACACTCCTAAATACCTTGTTTAATAAACAATACTTATGAAAGATAAACCCTAGTTTAGCTTACCGCATCAAGAGGGGTGATCGATGCACTGGCTCCACCATAGTAACTGTTCCTGTCAATGTGCAAAACTTTCTTGCCATTTACAGACAACAGTCCACTTAGAATGCATTCCTAAACAAAACAAAACCAGTATTTGCTAGTGTACATGAAGAAGAACATTAAACTCTTTCTGAAACAGCTGTACTCCAGTTTTAATTCTTCTTGGTTTTTTGAGTTACTACTTACACTTTGTTCGGTGTACTGAGACCTTGTTTATTTGCGCTTTATAAATCTACCTATTATCATTATTATGTTACATAAATACGTGTTTATTGGTATGAAACAATATTTGAAATGATCAGTGGTGGCTAACTCGCTTGACCGAACAGTACCCTTCGTAAGGTAATGAGTGGGGCTCTTTTGACGATTTAAGATTCCATGGGACTACTACCATCATGTAGTAATAAGAAAGGGACTTGCTTACTTTCATAAGGTGATAAACATAAATCAGTGTGACTCACTTGAAAATATTTTGTTATCCACACTGTTAGTGCGTTGGATATACATAAAGTCTAATTTATAATGCTGCAAAGTTTTTTTAACAAATGGATTTTCAACTAGAATTTAATTTGATAAAAACATGTGACATAATGACACATAACAGAGAAAATTGAGGCAGTGGGAATGAGAATGAATTGCATCAGAATCTTTTTAGCACCTTTAACAAATTTTTGAATTGGCGCTAGGCCCTATATAAATATTTGTTATTATTATTATTATTCTAAATTTGTTAAAAATACATTGTAGTGACCCAGACTGTAAAATAAGGCTTGTGTAGGGAATGTATCACCCACACAAGAATTATGCCTAGAATACCACCCACGCATGCAAACGCAAACATTCATGTTAATTAAAAAGGGAAATTTCCTTTCAACCCTCATTAACTGATGTGCAATGCTGACCATCACCCCAATAATGTCACCGTGTGAAAGATAGGCCTCCCGACCGCTAAACACAATCAACTCCGACCCGCAGTCAGACGACTGGAGTTTCCATGGTCAGTTATATAATTCCTGCCTAATTGCATTTTGATGATAAAATAAAAGCCAAAATGTAGAATAAAATTTTGAGTGACATTCATACTATTTCCACTTAGGCGCGCTTAAACTCAGTGCACATCTGTGGCTACTACGCTATCCTATGTACGAACACTGATTCCGAAAACTTTTTGACGTAATAAAAGCCGGGCGTGTACTGTAAGACGGTGCACAACAAAAAGATATTAACTGTCCTAATTACTGGTTAACATAGTTAGCAACCAAAATTATCGGATAATAAGTGGACTATAGGCTATGGAAAGTCAAATTATCAAAGAATGTATTAGGCCTAGGCCTAGTGATGAACAATTGTAAGTGTTTGGTAATCCATTTTAAAATCTTATTAGCGCCCGCATATTATAGCACCGACAATGTCACCTTACAATTTCATACAGTAAACAGTCAACTTGGTACTAGGCCTAGCAATAAAATAAAATGAAATATAAGTCTAGGCCTAGATAGGGCCTAGGCCTAGCCTATTTTCATCTCCTTCCTTCTTAAATGTGTAAAAAGAAGTTACATCAAACTACAGTCTAACATTAAGTTAAGCTAACATTCTCGTTTTGTAGCGTATTGCACATATGGCATTCCATATATATTGCGTTCTATGCCACACATTCCAGTGAAACTGTCAGGGGCAGAGAAAGTCGTCCTGGGTCTAGGCCCGGTAATTAGCAGTGTAACAAACTACCTACAGCACTATTCCACGAAAGGTGTCCGGCTGGGGTGTTGTTGCCGGTAGGACGTGTAGGGTGATCTGTGAACTACACAAAATACAAAACTGGGCCTGGTTTTTCTTAGTATCAATAGAATTTTACGACCAGAAGGTACAAGATTGCGTGACAAAATTACCTTCAGACCTGTACCAAGAACAATGACATCATATTCTTCATCCATTTTGAAGTTTTAAGAAATGAACGGATGTAAATTTACTAAAATTTGTTGATAAGTACGATACCAAAACACAGGCTTTCCCCAGGTACAAATCAAGATGGCCGTATATCGTAGGACAAAGGACCATCCCTTTTGTTCTTGGGCATTGAAATATAGTTCAGGGCAACTCTCGCATCTTTAAAATGAGCATGACTGAATTTAAGGATGGATCAACATGTACAAATTACAAAATATTTAAGGGAGTATACACTACAATTCCCATAAATCTAACAAGATATCTAGAAATCAGGAATAATATTAGGCCTATTCTTTTCAGTGTTGCGCATTTATATTTTACCCACATAGAAAGTGAAAATGAGCACATTCCATTATTCAATAGGGCAAGCAATATTAAGATTCCCCTTTGGTGGCGCACTCTGAATGATGCCTGATTCTAGCCTGGTATGTATTAGTCTTAAAATTCTCAGCACTGTCGCTACAGTGAACTTCAGTGCAATTGTTGTACTAACTATTGCACTGAAAACAGCGAAGCGACAGTGTAGCGATTGTATGGAAACCAAGCTTAAAAAGAGAAACTTTATTTTTTCAGACAGTGCTTCACAATCTCAGTTATTATTTAGATGATGTAATCTCCCCCACCCCATCATAAACTCATCCTCTCCCATCTTAAAAACAAGCATTATTCTTCCTGTTTTTTCTCCATATTGCCAAATGCAATACTAATGTATGCATATTATATTCTTATTATCTCAAACCATATAATATATGTTATATTCCATATAATACACAGGCTACAAACAGAGAACTCAATGATCTTTAATTTAACTAACTATTATTTATAATCTACAATCAAAACAAATAAGACCACCTCCATATTAAAGGCCAGTTCTGTGGTCCCAAATTAACAAATGTTTTCATCTTTATTATTCTAAAAGAACATATAATCCCTTATTTGAAGGAACCTGCATGCATATATTCATATAATTACTACTTAACTTGATATTAAATGCCGCCCTCAGTATCACTATACGTACCGTACCTTGGTTGGTGCATGTGTGCACTGCATGTGGCTTCATGTGCCCTAGCAGCGTGACCACTGCTTGGGTATTTACCCAAGATCTTGGATATTTTGACTTGGTCTTGGGTTCTTCGGTATTCCTTTCAAATCCTTGGGTATTTAATTTTTACTAAGAAAATTTAATATTTTTGTCATAGAGGAAGAATTTTAATTCTTCTTCTTAAAAGAAGTAGCAAAGTGTATTTCAGTCCATTAAATTAAGCAAAACTCAACGAAGTGCACTTAACATTGTTAATTGACTGTTGATTGCTATAAATATGGGTTCAGAATTGTTTATTTGTGATTTGCGTTGCCATAGATCTTACCTAATTAATGCATTACACAATAAAACTTGATCACTGATCTGCTGATAACACAGGCCGACTGAGGGCCGTATTATCACCTTATGAATATTAATTTAATAATTAACACAAACAATTACAATAAAAAATTGGTTTATAAATTGAACTAAAAGGAAAACTATACATGTGAAAAAACGTATTTTTCAAATTTTAATGCATTTTCAGGAAGCTTGGGTAATTTTGGGCAATTTTTGCTGAATCTTGGGAAATTTCGACCAGTATTGGATATATCAAAAATTGTGAGTGGTCACGCTGGCACTGTGCTTATGTGCAATGGACCGTTCCGCTTTAGCCCCACTCTTCACCATTGTTCCGTAGACAAGTGCGTTCGTGGACAACACCTGTGTTTACAGAAACAAGCGAGTATTTATATTCTGATAAAGTAACCTAAAGAAATTTTTTCCCCTCCGGAAATTCCGTTAAGCATAAAGCATAATATAGCAAACATACTTATCCGTCCTCAATCGCTTTATCTAGGAGGGACGTGCCCGAATTGTAGGCCTATATAATATTAGTAATAGGCTTAACTATGATTGGCTCTTATAAAATTATATAGGCCTACTTAAATAAAGGGTACGTAACCGACCCAACCGTCTGATACCGGTGTTGATACTGGCCTAAACATCAACAAAAAAATATGTATTGCTCAAGCATTACCTATACTCTTTGCTATGAACTAGTAACAACTTTTTGTTGCCAAAAGAAAAAAAAATCGATGGCCTTCAGTTTCATTTAATTACGGATGTTTTACTACAAGAGGTTTTAAATTGATCGACAAAAGGAATAGGGGTCTTCTCCAGGATCCCTTCTATCATAAATCGCATTTTTGTGGAGACATTACAACTGTATACGGCAATTAGTACTTTTAATTTCTACAGTTTTTGCCGATACATATCTGAATGAACCGGGTCATTTTTTCAACTTTTAAAAGGTGGCTACGTCCTAAGGTCTGTTGTTCTTGCGGGCGTTTATTCGGAGGGCGTTTATTCGAATTAATACGGTATATTACTGTATCTTTTATTACTGCATTGGATATGGAAAATAATTTGATGAATTTGCACCTACGACTAGTGCATGCAAAGATCTTATGGCCTAGTGCTACCTTAGCCTATAGGTGGCGCTATACAGGCTCGCAGCCGAGTAGTGTAAACAAATCAAAACACGCGAAATTCTTCACTTTTCTGTTAATATCAAACATTTTGGAAGAATGTGTTATCAGCTTCCATATCAGTGACAAGTCAATAGTCCATCCCAGGTCAGTACATATGTCGTAGTAATGCTGGCATGAAACAAGGGAATTATTCTAGGCATAGGGGCCTAGGCAGTCTGTGTGTGTGTTGGAAGGATAGGATTGGCCTAGCTGGCCTACTATTACTAAACTAGACTAGGCCCCAGCCAGCTGCTTGCAATGCTAGGCCTAGCCTAGGTTACATACCCAGCTCCTAGCTAGGTAGGTTAGCTCAGTCTAGCGGAGAAGTAGGCTATAATCTGACTGAGCAGTGATTTAACTAGGCCAGGCTAAACCAGTCTTGTTATATAGAATAATTTGTAATGTATATGAGAGGCTATATTTTTAGCTGCTAGTTAGGCCTAGCTAGGAAGGCCTAGCCTAGGCCTATGTGTATTCGTTCATGCTCAATTTTGAGTTGATTAGTGGAGACGCAAATTAGCCTCGGGCATAGTAGTAGGCCGTAGGCCTACCCTCAAGTATATATACCTACTGTATCTGGGCACATCTGAATATGCCGGTAAAAATTCACTTTGTTGTTCATTATGTACTGACTGGAACCTTGAACTATGTTGATTAATAATACTACCTACATATATCTATCAAGGTATCTTTATTCAAATGAAACTTTTTCATTGCAGCTTGCAGAACTGAATTGAGAAAAAATTAACAAAAAAGTACATTAAACAGGAAATCATTCTAAATATTCAAATTGCAATTGTGATTATTATTTAATTATTATAAGTATAAAAATTATTATTATTTTCATTTATTACTATAAAAATATAACAATTATTACAAATAAATACACAAGTGAGATTATTAAAGCATTCAAAGTTCTTAAAAAATTTAAGATTTAAAAGAGACATTTAAAACAAAGTAAAAAATCGGGATGGCACAAATTAACAAAAGACAAAAATCAAAACATCAAAAAGCACGACCCAACGAAAGAACATAAATGACACGAGCAAACAAGGGAAGACAGTAAAAAAAAAAAAGACACATGGGAGAATTTGCCCAAAAATTTGTTTCCCCCTCTCCCTTTTCATCTCTTTATAGCTTTTCTTGTTGCAGACCTTGATTGATTATTTATTGTTATTAAGAATCCTGATCATAGATGGTACAGGGCTGGAGTAGAACCTCTCTGTTTTACACTTGAATTACTTGTACGCATAATTAGTGCATTTTGACATATTGTGAATATTATGAGACTTTGGAAAGCAGGAATTAAAACGATCAGATTTAGATGATTTGATAGCAAAGTGGTTAAAGAGAGAATCTCTGCGGGTAAAGAGCCTCTCAAGACTTCGAACGGCACACTCGCCTATGGTTCTGGTAGTAGAACAAGTCTTCTCAGATAAGGGCTATAAACGTTGGCCCAGTGTATGCAATGGCTTTTGTGCACTATAAAAAACCCAGTACATCATTCGAGATGAGCAGGGGGGATACCCCGGTGTATTGGTACAGACAGCCCCTGTGGTGGATGAAGAGATTTGCTGGTACAGGGTTATCAGGTAGAATAGACACGAAGGGACCCTTATGGGAAAAGAAAGTCATTAATTGAGTTCCTAGTCCTTGCTTTAAGACTTGAGTGTAAAGCGCTATATAGATCAAACCATTATTATTATTATTATTACTCTAATTTTAACCCACAAAAAAACAAAATAAATAGTAACCCAGGTTACGTCACTGAATATAGTATGGGATCCAAGCTATGTGTTGGTAATTTCAGATCTCAGTGGGTCAATTCACAGAAACGTAATCATACACTTAAAAATGTTTGTGTGAGATTTAAAAAAAATTTTTATATTGGTTGAGTTAGTCAAAAAAAGATTTAATCATTTAATCTTATTAATTTTCCATGTTTTATATTTTAGTTATCCTGAGTTAGCAATCTTATAGAAAATGTAATTGTATAGTGGGTCAATAAAAGTTATTTCCCCCTCCCTCCCTACAAAATATGGAATTTTCCAATGTATGGGACGTTCATAAGGCAACTGAGTAATGTAACAAACAATTAGGGTAGCATGGCCTTTTTTCAGGGCGAGCTGGCTTTGGTAAAGCAATGCTTGTACTTCTGTGCATTGTTAAAAATAGAATAGCAAATAAAAGAACAAAGTACATAGCAGTTCTTATATCACTTTAATTTTCAAGTTAAAATGTTCAACCCAATAACAATACAACTCTCCCTTTATTATATTAAAATCCTTGGAAATAAAGGTATACCAATTTATTAAAGTGTAAATTCTGTGAACACTTTGTTGTTTATTAACTATACATATGAAATGTTAATTCAACATGTCACGCCGTTAAAATTAGATTTCTTGCCAGGCAATTCCATGGTAATGGCATCCATGATAAAAAATAATAATTACTGTACAAAAAATAATAATAAAAGTGTGCTGTCTGTCTAGATAAACCTATTCTGAGGCACAACATAACATGTAAGATGAAATAATATCTCTGTGACAACATGAATGCAATTCAACTTTGTAGTTCAAAGGGCAAAGGCATTCCAAATTTTAGGAGCTGAAAAAATGGACAGTCAACGTAGGAAGACAGTTTTAGAAACAGTTTAAAGATATTTGTCCGTGTACCTGTTAGTACATTTTGGAACATGCGACAGGTTTGCTTACAGTACAGATATGAGGCATGTTGTGGCAAAATGGCTGTTATCGCCAGGGTTGCCAAGAGTGGCAGTAGGCCCCAGAGCAGCTTTGCTGATTTGAGGATTAGAGGACTAATTAAATCGATTATATAGTGCTTAATTTCACCAGGTCATGAACAATAAAGTATAGAAACATTTAAAATTAAAAATTAAAAAAAAAAACATTAATATCGAATTAAGCATGTCCCAAAGTCTTAGTTCTGGAAATGGTGAACAAATCGGATAAGAAAGTATAATACAGACTCCAAGTATTAAAATGCATGCCATCGTGTTGGGTTCAATACTCAGAGTATGTATTATACTTTCTTATCTGAGATTAATCAGTGGACCTTTCGGTTTGTGTACGCAAACCAATTATTTAACGTTATTTTAATTCTGTTAAACAATTAACACACAAATGACTTTGGAAGGCGAATACTCGAAATCATGTTTATCTCAACCTGTTAGTGGCGGTTTTCATCGCTGTTGGTTTTATACTGAATAAAATAAAATAAATAAAAATAGTAAGAGTGCTGTGTTTTCATTTCCTAATAAACTAAGGCTTGAAATGTCTAATTTCAATGAATGACCCTTCATTTTAAAGATTATAATTACATACTCAAATATCTGAAAATACCAATAACTTGAACTTCAATTTTTCCTATACAACTTTAGACATTTTGCCACAACATGCTTCACAATGATATCATACATTTATTATGAAATTTAAAAATAAATCAGGCCAAAAATAACATTTCATTTTTATTTAAAACCACCATTATTGATGGACAATGAGTTTGCAAGAAACAAAGTATATAAAATAGTCTCGCTCTTATCAAGTTGTTTTTTTACAGAAGCTAGACCTAAACAAACTGTGTTAAGTGGCTTATTTTATTTAATTTGAAGGACCTCATAAAATTTGTTTATTTTAACCATATGATAATTTCATTGTACAGGAAGTTCTGAAGATGGTGGATTTATAAATTATTGATATGGATGATAGATAGCAATATTTAATGACCACACCGAAAAACACAATTACAGTTGAACCATCCCTGGGGTCAAAAGTTCATAGATTATGATAGCAATCTCAATCATGTTTTGCTTGAAATTAAAATTAATTCTCATCAGAAAGACAGTTGAAAAGTTTATCAAAATATGTTCATAGAAACTGGTCGGTCAATATTAAAGAGAAGGATAGATAATCAGATATTCTGATAAAGAGATCATTCCTAAAACAGACGGATGGACATGATGACCCGTGTGGTGTAAATAGGTCAACGAATTGATTTTCCAGCCTTGCCTCTTCTGTCTGTTTACAGGAGCTTGTAATGTTCGCTGTGCATACGTTGCTGTTTAACTCATTAATGCACATTACATTTTTTTTTTTATCAGACCCATAGTTTAGCCATACTTCAGATCTCATGCATGAATATAAAAGATTTAAGGCCAGTTATTTATGTTACTCATCCCTACCCACTTACATTTGCAGTCTTTCTTTAATCCCTGCACTGGCCACCAACATTTTTCGACGAATCCATTTAGATATTTCCACTTACAGTAGATATACACATCTTGTTTATACAGTACTACCAAAATACCTTTCTACATTTCGTTAAAAAACAGATCTCAAGGAACAGTCAGTGAAGTTTCCGAGATATTAAATGGCAACTACACATGCTCAGTGGCATGGGATGGGGATACTATAGTTTCACGGTTGTTATAAAAAACAATTGACGTTGCTTATTCACCATTTGTTTCACCAACCCGATTCCACTGTCAATATAGTCAGTTGCAATAAAAATATATAATGTGCTTTCTTGTGATTTAATTTATTAATGTATTTGTTCTTATTTTATTAAAATCACCAATGTTTTAAAAGATAATGATAACTATCAATGATATTGTATATGCAAATACTTAAAATGTGAGTGTTTTTTGTGTAAATTCTTGAACAAGTCAATCATAGGCCCAGTATCAGGTAATAAAGATTAACTGAATTAATGCACAAGCTAATACCTTCCCTTGGGGATCATTGTCCAGGCATTGTATACTAACAGTCACAACTGGCCTAGTTTCCAGCATGCACTAATACCTCTCACTGTTATTTCATACTGTGATCTAGTGCAAGATGGGTGATTGATCATCCTCGTTACATAATTACGGACCTTCCTGCTAAGTCTGGCCTCTTGGATTATTGTTGCTAAACATATGCAAACACATGTGTTTGTAGGACAACACATGTGTTTATGAGATCATGCATATCCCTGCATATTCTCGATAATCTTAATGACCAAATTGGTAACCATAAATTAGCAGAAATATTTGATAATTATTGTAAGGTATTTCTCGGAGGCGCATGGAAATTAAGATCTGAAAT